AGAATTTTTTTCATATCAATTGCTCTTCCAAGATTACAACTCTCTTTTATTATATCAATTATCGAGTTTTTACTCTCTTGTGCTGCAAAATATACAATATCAATTCAATTTTTACAGTTTATTAGTTACAATTTCAATTCATCCAATTCTCAATTCTCACAATCTCACTACATTTATCATAAATAATCACTGAAATGGATCAACTTTCATTTGTTGAGAGCTTGTTCGATACAGGATGTGAGCCATTGCCACATCATGGAGAATCGTCTAGGATGCCGCAAAGTCAATTTTCAAAAAAAAAATTCGGTCTAAATGACATACCAATACCTGAAGATGTTCTCATTCACGGTTAGGGAAGCCACACTCCAATTGATTTGGATGATATTAACGTTCCCGAAGCGGAACATGAAAATGAAGATCATCAATTAAATATCCCAGATGCGAGGGGAAAGCGAAAGGCCAAAAAACAAGCAAAATGTTGCGATCACTTTAAATTGATTTCAACGGAAAAAGTCGTTGATGGCCTTGCAGAATCTAAAGCAGTATGTAAATACTGCCAACAAAGATTGACATGGCAAAAATGAATTGGTACTACTCATCTCAACCGCCACTACAAATCATGTGCAGCCAGACATGGACTTCTTCCAGCTGGTCAAATACAATTACAATTTGGCAGTCCAGGTGTCGGTTCTACAACTTTACCCCTATCCACGTGGGTGTATTCGAAGGACGAGACTCGAACCGAAATGATGAAATTTGTTGCCGCCACTGAGTTGCCTCTGGCTATTGCAGACAACCAACACTTCGTCTCGTTCGTGAAAGAATATCTACAACCGAGGTACATTGGGGTAAGTCGAAACACTCTTCGTGCCGATACAATAAATTATTTCAATAATTCAAAACAACAATTAATTATGGATTTGAAACAATATGGGGGTCTTATATCCTTAACTTCTGATATATGGGAAGGGGTTAATAAAAGAGCATATATAGCTGCAACCGCACACTATATAGACTCACTTTGGTGCATGCATAAGAAAATTATTGTTTTTAGAATTATTGAATTTTCTCACAATACTAATAATATATATAATGTTATTATCAGTATTGTTAGAGAATATCATTGTGAGAGTAAAATTCGATCTTTTACTTTTGATAATGCTAGCGTTAATAAGGTAGTCGATAAATTGTGTAGGACACTTCAACCTAATTTTGGTGGGTATTTGTTTCATATTCGTTGTGTGTGTCATATCTTGAATTTAATTGTACAAGATGGTTTAAAACATATAAATGATGAATTTCAAAGGATTAGGAATGTATTAGTATATATTACGATCTCTCCTAATAGAAAACAATCATTTGAAAATTTTTGTGTCGAACTAGGGGTGATGACTGCTAAAACATTTGTTAGCGACGTAGGTCATAGATGGAACTCTACATACTTGCTATTAAAATCATGTGAAGGTTTCGAAAATCTAATAACTGACTTTTATAATAATAGACATGTTTGAAGTGATGATGATGGTATGTTAAATGAATCCGATTGGATTTTAACTTTGAAAGTTAAACGATTTTTGACATTTTTTTATGAGACCACAAAGATTTTATCCGGCATTTATTATCCCACAAGTTGTATGGTGCTTGAACGCCTTTATATAATTGCAAGAACATTCCATAAATATAAAAATGATCCTGCTTTTAGTGAAATTTTAATTGCTATGGAATTAAAGTTTAGAAAATATTGGGAAGAACTGCCTATGTTATTTCCTTTAGCATGCGCAATGGACCCCTGATATAATATTTCGGGAACTAAATACGTAATTGATCAAATCAATAAAGTTTTAATACTTGATACACCTATCACCTATAAGAATTTAGAGCAAACATTATGTGGAATGTATGATTTATATGCGGAAAGAATGGGTGCAAATGTTAGTCGGGTGTCCTCTGCTGCACATACTCCTTCTGCTAAAATTGAAGAAGATGCTGCGAAAATAATGAATTTATTTCAGGGCATTAATACATTTAGATATGATGCAACTGCAATGTGTTCATCTAGTGCCATGTCGTCTACATCTGCATCTCATCAAACATCGGTTGAAACTCAAAATGCGATGCCTGTCGAATTAATTGATTATTTCAATCATAATATGTCAACAGACAGAACAATTAAAAAAAACTTCAGAAGAAGTAATTGAATTCTGGCGAAAGTATAAAAGACATTGGCCAATTGTTTCTGCAATTGCGAAAGATCTATTGACACCTCCGGTTAGCACTGTTGTTTCGGAGTCTGCTTTTAGTGCAGGTAAAAGGGTTTTGACTGATTTCAGGAGCCGACTGAAAGAAGATATTTTGGAAGCGTTAATGTGTGTGAAGGATTGACAAGACGCTCATTTTCGACTACAAGATAAATACGCTGAAATTGCATGTCGTCAGGTAAGTGATATTTAATTTAATTATATTAATCAATTTTTTTTATTTTTTAATCGTTAAATTTAATTTTCTTTAAAAAATTGTACACGTTACAACAAGTTGTTCGTGTACAATTTTTAACTCCGCCTACTTAAAATTGATGTAGCCGGTCCCAAGCGCGGATAAAGGAGGAGGGTTTACATTTTATTAACTTTAAAAAGAAATCAAAAAAATATATTTTTTGTAATTGTATTTCAAAAAATAATTCGTTTTCATTATATAAATATTTTATACTGTATAAAAAGTATTACAAATTACAATATGATATAAATAAAAAAAATAAAAACTTGTTTTCGTTAAATTATTTGTATTTTTTAGCACTTTTTATTTTTAAAACTCTATTCTTTATTAACTTTAAAAAGAAATCAAAAAAAAAATATTTTTTGTAAATGTATTTCAAAAAATAATTCATTTTCATTATATAAATATTTTATACTTTATAAAAAGTATTACAAATTACAATATGATATAAATAAAAAAAATAAAAACTTGTTTTCGTTAAATTATTTGTATTTTTTTAACACTTTTATTTTTAAAACCCTATTCTTTATTAACTTCAAAAAGAAATCAAAAAAATATATTTTTTATAAATGTATTTCAAAAAATAATTCGCTTTCATTATATAAATATTTTATACTTTATAAAAAGCATTACAAATTACAATATGATATAAATAAAAAAAAAATAAAAACTTGTTTTCGTTAAATTATTTGTATTTCTTAACACTTTTTATTTTTTAACACTTTTTATTTTTAAAAACTCTATTCTTTATTTAAATAAAAAAAAATAGGAGAGCCCACGAGCCGAAGCTCGGCTCGGCCCATTACCAACTCTACCTTCACGACTACAAATCAATGTGACATATCTCACAACACCATCGTCGTCCTTTTTGGAATTTCTTTTCGTAACTGGAAAACCTTCGACGTGCGCAAATTTTTTATAGTAGTCAAACAATTCATTTTCATCATTGAACTTCATTCCAACCTCAAGCACTCGCAAAGGCACATCATCTCTTGCTACAATTTCATCACCCAATAAGTTCACTTTCTCCACGACATTCTCAGACTCAGATTCTACCAAAACAATGTCATCCAAATTCTCCAACATATCTTTCCCTGCAACGTAAACATAAAATCAGTTGCAATAATGATTTTTCCACAATACATGTAAATTTCGTCATGAAAATTATTTAACCGAACTGTAACTTTCTCTCTAAAAATAATGTCAACCAACATTGGACCAAAAATTAATTTTCACAACAAACAATGACTATTAACACAAGTTTTTCATTCCCTAACAAGAACCATCTCCAGCACATTTTATTTTCCACAAAATGAAAAAATATTCATTACCACAATCTGTAAATTTTCCACAACATTGAATTGAAACAATGTTTTCCTCACAGTACATTATGAGATTCAACAACTATAAATGCAAGTTTATGATTAACTCAAGAATAAAATCCACCATTCTAGCCGACATTACAGAAATTTGAAAATCAGAAAATACCCATTACCTTTGTCTACCATTTTCGAATAACTCCTTCCAATATCTGTCTAAAATTTTTTGGCACTGCAAATGGTGAAATTTGGAGAAGATGGGCCGTATTTCACTTGAAGAGGGTATACAAGTTCGCGCCTAAGAGACCTCCGCCAGTTTTGCGCCTTGTCTGACATGCAAGTTCAAAGGTTTCTCTTCTTGTTTCGTGGGTATAGGGTCGGGTAGGGAAAGGTAAAGGAGGCCCAGTTGTTTGGATTCAAAATAAATAGTTTTTAATTCTTTAGTGGTTGCCAACTTGCTTGTACAAGAATTAATTTGTGTATTTTAATCAATAATTCCACCTCCTTCTATCAGGGACGATGTCAACTAATGGGTACAACAAGAATAATTCTTATTTCTCAAGCTCTCTGTGTCAGATGACTTCGATTGGTGAAAAAGTTTTAACTCTGTGGGAGGTGAATGGCTCAATGACATGACATCGTTCATCTGGAGTGCTCAAGTCCTAGGAAAACAATTAAAATAAATAACAATTTGTTGGCATCGCCTGAACTCGAACCGGAGACTTTCAGTGTGTTAGATTGATATGATAACTAACTATGCTACGACAGTTACACCAAGGCAAACAAATCGAAAAACCAACCAAATCAATCGAACCGAACCTGCTCCAGTCAATTTGGGTCGGTTTGACACAGATAAACTTAGTTTAGATTTTATTTTTATTTTTATTATTATTTTTTTAACACCACCATGATGAGTCAATTCAACCACGATTTGAAATCTCAAACCGCTGTTTAATCGAACCAATACAACCCAGTTACATGTTTACCTTTAAAAAAAAAAATCAAAATCAAAAGATAAACCATAATCTAATAACTATATCTCGATTCCTCCAATTTACGATATTGCTAGTAAGTAATAAAACTAGTATTCACAAGTTCATTATGCTATACTTAACATTTTTTCCTTACTCAGACAGTCAAGCTACCAAAAAAGGGGGGGGGGGAATTCTGAAGTTTTTTGTTGATTTGGCATCTAGATGTTTTTTAGCCCCCGTTTGGCTCCCATTCTATGGAAAAATTAATGGATGGAATAGTATTTCTTTAAAAAATGAATGGTTGAAAATGAGAGGAAAGTTTTCGATTTACGTGTAATATTATTTTATAAAAGATTGTGTAGTTAAAATATTGAGAGAGAAAAATGGAATATAATAGAATGAAAATTAATGAAGGCCAAAGGGTGAATATAAATGGTGCTAGATACAAGGGCGGAGCCAGGAAAATATATTAGGGTGGACTGAAAATTGAATTTTTCTCATAGATACTCTTTGACACTCAAAATTTAGTTTTTAAGGTTAAACTCCTCATGCTATTTTTAACTAATAAAAGTAAATATAGAGTATATTACTTATTTTGATAATAACATCCATTCCGTGGTCGAAATAAATAAATTTTTAACTCACAAGTATAAATAAGTAATATATGAAAGATACGTTAGGAAAAAATTAATTACTTTTAAGTTTAGTCAAACATGTGACATGTTACAATAAATTATTTATCTTTACTTTAATCGATAAGAATTATTTGTTATATAATAAACTAATTTAATTATAAGTGAACTCTTTAAATTTGAATAATTGNGGATTAATGAACACATTATCCTTAAAGTGGAAAGTTCAGTGTTCTTCCAACATTACAATAAATTAGGATATCCACTGAGAAACGTGTAATTGGACCTTAAAATTAATGGCAAACCATTTACCAAAAATCTCATAAGAACAAACCTTCATGACACATAATGGAAGCTTGAGATGTGACTGGTGGAGCAAGTGTGTCCCACACAACCACATTATTACCATTGGAGCTATACCCAGCAGCAGCAACAATAGATCCACTTGCAGTAACATAAGTGACATCTCTGCAACCACACATTCCAAAATGTTTAGTGAGGAATAAAATTGTAAGAGACTCAAATTGCAAGACAAAACAAAATGTCAACCAAAATAATTGGTTATCAAGTAAACTGGTGTACTGGGAAAATAACATAGTTGAAGCGTTCTATCCAAGCTGCAACTAACAAAAACGGGAGAATGCTTTCTCAAAATGGCCTATCTATGCATCAGCACAAGCAAATCCAGGTAACCAGGACAAATGCCACTAGAATTATTTTCATTGTTACTTTTGGTGCAAAGCAAACATGTAGAAAAGAAAAGAAAAGAAAAGAAAGACACTCCATGATGCAGTCACTCCAAAAATTCAGCAAAAGTTCAATAATGGCAATACACTAAGCATTACTCCTAATAATCTGGGATAGGTTAAATGAATACATCTTTCCCACACGGTTCAATCCATCACCAAATCTAGTGAATATCCAATGCAATCAGAAGCTATGCCCTTGATGACCATAACAGACCATATTAATTTTGCTCCATTTCACCTCCTCCTATCATGTTCTGTTGTGATCACATCACTGTTGTGGGAAGGAGCTTCTTTACATTTTAGTACAAGCTTAAAAAGAAAAGTGTCTTGAATATGTTGGAACCAGCAAATCATTTAATGCCCCATCTTCAATATATTCCCTATTTTCATCCCTCTCTGTTGGGCTTTTTGCTACCAAATAAATTACGGAGATAACGATGATAAACAGTGACGTATTAAGCTCCATAGGCCTAGTCAGACAGTCTGACCTCTCCTCTACTTTCGTTATATAGTGATAACAAGAGTACACTTACGGAAACTATGTGAAAGTAAGGAAATACAATAAACCCATATCTTGCCTAATCTATGTGAATCTTTATTAATTTTTACTTCCTTAACTCTCCCCCTCAAGCTGTAGTATATATATCATATAAACTCAACTTGAAACAAAGAAACCTCAACCGATTACCATTCAACAACTTTGTAAACATACCAGCAAATTGATCTCCTTGTCTTTACAAATGGCGTACATATATCACTACTCATTATCTTATCTCTAACAAATTGACAATCATCTTCAATGTACTTGGTCCTCTCATGAAAGACTGGATTGGATGTAATATATAGAGTAGCCTAATTATGACAGAACATTGGAATACAAGGCAGAAGGAGAGAGATTGATTTCTCAAAGAAAATGCCGCAACTATGTCAACTCACTAGTAGTATAAGTCATCACCCTATATTCTACTTCTGTACTTGACCTTGCTATTACAATTTGTTTCTTACTTTTCCAAGATGTAAGATTACCACCGAGAAAAGTACAAAAACCAGTATTAGATCATCTATATGAAGGAGATCATGCCCAATCTGCATGTGAACCCTTCTATTCTGACATGTTCATTTGGTTTGTATAATAACCCAAAATCTAGTCTTTTTCAAATACTGAATAACCCGTATCTTAGCTTCCTAATAAGAATTCAAGAACTGACTAATGATGCTGACGGCATAAGAAATATCTAATCGTGATAGTAAGATAATTCAATTTCCCAATCAAACGACGATATTTACCTGGTTCCCCAAATAGTTCTCATTCATCATTCAAAAGCTTCATATTAGGATCCATGGGAGCATCAACTGGGCGAATTCCAAGAAAATATGTTTCATCTAACAGATCAAATACATATCTTCTTTGAGATAAGTTGATACCTGTCTGAGACCTAGGGATTTCAATACCCAAGAAATATCGAAACTTGCCCAGATCCTTAATCTTAAAATATTGTCGTAGAAACTATTTTAACCGACCAATCCCTTCTGCATCAACACTAATGATTATAATATCATCCACATAAACTACAAAAATAACATAACTTGCACCTGTTTGCAAATGAAATAATGAACGATCTGTTTGACACCTCTGAAGACCAAATTTTAGAACAGCTTCAGAAAACTTCACAAACCATGTCATTGGTGATTGCTTTAATCCATACAAAGTCTTTTTCGACTTACAAATATAACTCTGATACTTTACTTGAGCAACAAACCTAGGTGGTTACTCCATATAAACCTCTTCGTGCAAGTTAACATGAAGGAAGGCATTATTAATATCCTATTGAAATAGTGGCCAATCAAGATTAATAGCAATAGAAATCAAAAGACGAATAGAAGAAATCTTAGCAACTGGAGAGAACATCTCATAATAATCAATACCATAGGTCTACATATGGCCTTTAGCAACCAGTTGGACTTTCAATCGATCAACAGTTCCATCAGGATTGAACTTCAGAATATAGACTCATCTGTTGCCAACAGGATGTATCCCAGGTGGTGAAGGAACGAGTTTTCAAGTCTTTTTCTCATGCAAGACCGCCATTTCCAATTCCATAGCCTTTCTCCACTCAAGATCATATAAAGCTTATGTCATTATCTTAGATACAAAAACACTAGAAAGCTAGAATATGAAACAGGAAAACGAAGTCGACAACGAATCAAAAGTGACATAGTGGCTTATTGGATGTTTAGTGACACAAGTACGTTTACTTTTATGGAGTGCAATAAGCAATGACTCGGGATCAAAAGAGAGGACCAATGCAGGATTTGTAGATGGCAAGGTGACGAATGAGGTTGCAAGCGTTAGTGGCTTAGATCGTTGAGTAAATACTTGTATTGGAGGAGGTGGTTCCTCAGGAGAGGAGGACAACTCCAATGCAGTTGATGGAGAAGAGTATCGTTTTGGAGAAATACCAATTGGTTTTGGCTGATCTTGGACCTTCTCAACCCCGAAAGCTAACTCAAGAGATGAGACTTTATCTCACACTTATAAACTGAACATCAGCCCTTTCCACAATCGATATAAAATAACCTTAACAATCTCCATCTCACACATCGTGCCCTAAGTGGGACCAAACCAGCATCTTCCATGGACTGTTGGGCAGAGACTCGTTGATAACCTGGGCTCTGATACCGTGTTAAAAAGAAAGGTTTTGTATAGACTTTGGAGAGAAGATGGTAATTTCCTTCCTCCCCTCTGCTTTCGTTATACAGTGAAAACAATCGTACACTTGTGGAAACTATGTAAAAGTAAAGAAACACAATAAACCTATATCTTGCCTAATTCGAGTGAATTTTTATTAATTTTTACTTCCTTGAAAACCTCAGGAAAGGTGGAATTAACTCATTGGTAGCTTAATTTACCAGATCGATACTTACGATGTATAGTTGTTAAAGCAGGCAGCAGATTCTGTCGGACTAATATTACTCATTCCTCCAACTTCAACCTGCCATGTGCACACAGTTCCATCCAATGCAGCAGTCACGAATCTCTGTCCACAATGGTCAAACCGCACAGCAGATACAGAGGCAAGAGCATAAGGTGGAGGGACATTCGCAGCAGGAAGAACTCCATATGTAGCAGTAGCTCTGTCCTTTCCAAACTGCAGTCACCATATATTATGTTAACTACCGAATCATGCAAACATCACTAACAGCAGCTCTAGAACCAGTTGGAAAGGAAAGTACCGCATTTGTATGCAATGAACAACATACATACAGACAGACAGATACTCACAAAAAAATATATGCAGTAGTATCCTTTTAAGCATTTTCCTTTTTCTTTTTGGATGAATGAGAGAAGCAATACAAATATCATGCTTAATGTAACTATGAGAACTGAAGAACTACATCAGTCGATAAAATGAAGTTGCAGACCAGGATTTGTCAGGTGATCTTAAATAAAGCCCAGGAAACAGTTAAGGTGTAAATTAACCAGATAACTGTTGTATAAGAAATTATATAGAAGTTTCTTGAAAACATCAATTCACTTAAGAGCATAAATACCTAATGTTAATTAAACAGATAAATTCTCAATTGATGTTTGCAAGATAGTGAGGTTCATCTATCCGAAGAATAACAAAAAAAACAACTATGTTAAAGAGCAGTTTAAGGGAGAATATGAAGTAAGCTTGTTATTATTACTTTAATAATCCTAAAGAACAAAAGCAAAGTCGAGGTGTGGTTATTTTTCAGAGCACTTTCCTCTCCAGGGGGAGAATAGATTACCAAGAGAAGGGCTTCATATGTGAGTTAATATCATGCAAAAGAAAAACAAACCAAACCGAAACATAACATATGGAAGAATAATGAAAATTATGATGACAAAAGCTGCAACAATTATGCTGATGATTTCTGTACAAGTCAAATACCTCCCACAGGTATACATGCGTATTGCTAGAACCAACCAAAAAGAAAGGCCTAGAAGGGTGAGTAGAAAATGCCGTTGTCCTGACACTGTCCATAGTGGCAGGTGGATCCACAAACTCATCAAACTCTTCTTGAATCCCCCAACCAAGGCCAGATGCACCAATTCCAGCATAGCCTGGGATTCCAAATGCTCCACCACCTGTTAAATCTCTGCCTGCTCTTACCAAACCACCTGAACCAATGGTTGCTCCACCTAACCCAAGGTGTGTTCCCTTCTTGCTACCAAGGCCAACACCAGGAGAAACACATGTAGGAACTGGAGTAGACTCAGACCCAGCCCACCCATCATGCGGCCAGTCTGCCTCTCCCCAGATATATTCAGATTTATCTCTATGTGGCAAGCCATCTTCCCAATCAAAGAATATTATCCCCTAAATAATGGAATACACAGTTGTTCACACAACAAAAAATGGTATTTAGATAATCAAGATGTAACAATTGAAGTTAACATGACTCAGCAATTTTCATAGTCACAAAAAAGAGTATTGGATTCCATACTAACCATACAGAAACTTGTCAAAAGGGCAGAACAAACATTGTGCAATCTATTTTAAAATTAATTCCTCAGAAGTAAGACTGGTTGCCAAGAAAATTTTGCCTATCTTGAAAGTTAAATGGGATGTGAAGAATTTTAACATGACAAAAACAAATAATGTATTTCTTAATTAACAATCAAATATTCTTCATTTTTGGATGACAAATTTTTTATAAACCAGGAGGCTAACCTAAAGTCACATGCAATTGTACTCAGTTTTTTCCTACCCAAAATTATTTCCACTCAATAGAGAGCTAAAAAAGGTTCGATTGATTGCATTTTTCGTAATGTGTATATATCCTGATGAAGAAAAATAGTAAAGCAAGTGACATGGAATCCAGCTAATAAATCAAGATTCAAAAGAACACCTATGAGTTCAAATTACTAAGCATAATCATTGATCAAAACCATAAAATTCAAACAGGGGATATTGCTTAAAAACAACATCCAGCATTAATTCGCAATCACGGAAGTCACCACGTCAAGTTTTATCGTGGAGATGGAAAATAAGCCTATGTTTATGAAGACTCAATTCACTTTTTATCCACACATTTTGAGGAATCCACAAGTATTACCCACTTATCCACCACTAATTTCTATCTACAATTTAAACCGTTTATAAGCACTTTCAAACAGGCTTTAACATGCCAAATATTCCGGACAGCAAAAAAAGCTATGAAATTTCACACCCAACCATTAAAGAAGTATCTAAGCAAATTATGTTGCACAGTCTCACCTTTTTATTGCTAGCAAGTGCAGCTTGACGTTGATCGATGGAGTTGATGCACAAAGCCTGCTCACGTATTGTTAAAATTCAGGTACCATTAGATCCAGATAAAAATTTGAAGTTCAGTCTACCACATGCTAAATGCACCATAGATTTTTAATATAACAACAATTCTTGAAGAAGTACCTCTAAAAGTTCTCCATTTCTTTTATATATTTCTTTAGGATTATGGAATGGCACAGCTTTCTTCTTATGATATACATCATTTTCCCCAGTACTTCTGAAAGGATGATCATCTGGTGATAGACATGCAAGAGGTGATCCAGCTGCACTACTAGGACTACCAGCCCTATCTTTATCAGAAGTTTCCTCAGTTTCACACTCTCTCATGATGCTTATATATGCATCACTCCATCCGTTAGAAGACTTCTGCTGAGCAATTTGTAGCCAATTATAGTTTTCTTGCACGAAGGCTTCCCGAATTGTTTTAGAGTTAGAACAGATACGCCGTAATTCTTCAGAAGCCAATTCAGTGCCATTGTTCAATATACTTGCACCATCATTACCTCCAGTAAAATCTTTATCTTGAGCTCTTTGTTGAGATGGACCATCTTGCATACCCGAAATAACAGTTCCAGTGCATCCATCAACTCTCTGTATTAGGTACAACGCGAACCGTTGAGACTGATATAGTGAAATATGCATACAGACAACCTTTAGTAACTTAGATAAAGTGGTTGAAACCAAACCAATCTGTAATTGTATATTATTGTCTTGGGGTTCAGACATAACCAGGCTTCGGGAAGAACAACTATCATCAATAATTTCAGGCAATGTATTTAGTTGATGTTCTAAAAACTTAGACATGTGTACCCACAAAGAAGCACCCATAATCTGCCATCTCTCATCCTCTAGCACTGAAAACATGGAACCTTCATTTCGTTCTTCCCGCATCCATCCTTTCATCTGAACATGAGCTCCTAAATCAATAGTTGATGAATCGTGACCCAGCATCTCCACAGTCTCTACGAGAATTTTATTCAGATCCTCCATCTTAATCTCATACGATGCAGGCTCGCTGCTTAATATGGTCAAAAAAGGTTTTACAATCTGAACAAGAGCTCTGGCATTCCTCTTAAGCCAAGCTGAAGCAAAAACTATGCAGTATCCAAATAAACAAAGAACAGTAGAAGATCTCTTCATAAGATCTGTGCGTTGGGATGTGGAAAATAACTGTAACATAGCTCGTAGACTCCTCAATGACCATATTAGTCTCCGATTTGAGAACTCCCAAGAAAGATAAGAGCAAAATCTGCCTTTAGTATCCTTGCTATTTTTGTTCAAATATGACAACCCAGAGCAGTTTATACAAGAGGCAACCACATATTTTGCAAATATGCTGGAGATTTCATTAGTAGCTTTTAAGAGTAGATTGGGTGGGAAAGGATATAAGAGGACTTTATCAAATCCATTGCTATTCTCTCGAGGTTGAAGATGTGCTATATATTCACGCAGTATACTGTATCCAATAAACTCTAATCCATTATGGTGCAAAAATAATACCATCTGTAGAATAGGGAAAAAGGAAATAGATTAGGTAATCCTGTTCAATAAATTCAGAAATACCAAATAGTTAAAAGATGTGCTTTAAAATCAACAGTGCGTACCATGTTGATTAGATGAAGAGAAATCAAAGAGAACCTCTGTTGAAAATATGTAATAGTTGCACTCAAACTGTTTCGAAATTCTTCCAGTAATCTTTTGAAGTCCTGATTCTCAGACTCATAGCATAAAGGTACTCCAGAAACTGCCAAATTGATGGCTGCCAAGCTCGGATGTTCTCTTAAAAAGTTTGACATATAATGCATAGCCAAATCTAACTTAAAACGTGATGCTATATGGAAAGCCACGTTGTCTGATATCCAGTTTGAAGAACATTTATTTAGGAGTGGTTTCAACATTTCCATAAGAAGTTCAGTGTTTGGACTTTGCATTACACTCCCTTGAATTGAACCTCCAAAGACGCTAAAAGAAGATGAAAAGCTCTCCAAAGCTTCAAGCTTGAGAAATAACAAATAAAAAATAAGCAAAATGAGAAGATTAGATAGGCAACATTAGAAGATTGGCAGGATGGGGAATAAGAATTACATGCTAAACACTGCCAGTCAGCCAGTAAGATAATAGTTTAACCATAAATTACTTGGTTCTAGTGATAACTGGTTTAAATAAAAGAAGACCTTAGGAACACATAAATAAAAAGTCATCAACGCTATATGCTCCCTACATCATTATATTATTTTATCCATTCAAGATAACACCATGGATTATACCTTTAATGAGTAAAAATCATTTTCCTAGTTGTTCTCAATGATTGCCTGTTACTTCAAATAGCAATAAAGAACAAAAGTAAGCTCCCCTTCACACAGGCAAAGTTGGTTTAAGAGTAACCTATCATACAGGCAAAGATGGTTTAAGAGTAACAAAGACCAATTAATTCTATACAAATCCATATAGCCAAACAGAAGAGATCTAGACTAAGCCCTTGTTTGCCTCTTGCGGTTGTTTCTAATGTGTTTACAATAGGTCAAACCACTTTTGGTCCACATATTTTTTGGGACCCACAAGTACTACCCACTTATCCACCACTCATTTCATATTTATATTTAAACCGATTATAAACAACTTTCAAATATGCTTTAAGAAGATAATGTGTGCAGGCATACATGAAAGAAGTGCAAACCATCTATCAAAACAATACCTGTGTTTTGAAACCATAATCACAAGTTAAAAGACTATGAGCTTAGTCCAGAACATATTATTCAGGAGGCAAATATAAGATGAACTTACAGGGAGGCCACATCTGCCCAAGGCCATAGCATTCATCAGTGCAGCCCACCTGCATAGAGCCGCAGCATTATGCTCCCCAATAGAATTTTTCATGCTAGTCTTGGTTGTCAATATTAGGCAATACTGACCGATGCTTGGATCCAAGAAACATGCATGACAGGATGAAAGGACTGGCATATTCGGATTATATCCCATTTGGACCTCAAACATTCTCAAGAAGGCCTGGGAGTAATTTCCTAATACCCACTGTAAAAAAGAAAAGATTTTTTAAATGATAATATGATGTACCAATATAAATGAACGTTGTAGATGAAGCTATGAGAATGAACATCAGTTATCAGAGTGGAAAGTATATCATAACTCATTACCTCCAGAACACTCGCTAGCCAAGAGTCACCTTTTGACAACGCAGATGGCAGAAGAATCTTTGAAATAAGATTATGCTGTAAAGGCCCACCGTACCCCTCAACAAGATGACATAATACAAGAGCAAGCTGCTCATCCCCAAGGTTTTTGGCACATATAGTGACCGCAGAAGAAGCATCCCCTCCCAGTAAAAAGAAAGCTACTGCAAGCTCCAGTTGATGTTTACCCATCAGAACATAAGCATTTTTAAGAGCAGCTGCTTTATTTTTTTCCTCCTGCAGAAGTAGAAGTTGGAACAACTCATTTATATAAGAAGATAAAAAATTGTAATCAATATAAGACCTAATCCAGAAAAGCTGAATTCTTAAATTGCCTAAAAATGCCCAAACAACCTACATTAGATTCTGGAGTCCAAGGGTAGCAGATAAGATTTAGTGCCTGTTTGGCTCATGTTTATAAATTGTTTATATAAACACTCAAGTCACATTTTTATCCACACATATGGGGGACAAGTACCATCCAACTATCCACCACTCATTTATTTTTATTTATAATTTAAAACACTTCCCAAACATGCTTTTAGTTACAAGATATCCACGAAAAGTGCACTTTCTTAAAAATTATCAATGCAGATTTCTGGAGTACACTGATGTTAAACCTTGCATAAAGAACAGAACAATATTTTGGTCAGTGTCAAAGCTGGTTGGAAGTTTTATATACCCCAAGATAAATTCAGCAAAATTAAATCCACAAATTTGTGATATATTATTATTAGGTATAGGACATGATGTACAAAACAATTAATTGAAAAACAGTGATTCCATGAAAAATTTAGAAGAGTTCATTCCCCATAGAATATGTATTAATGAATTGAAAATGCTAAAGACCGTCACAGGGGCAATTGTTAACAGATCTTAGTATGCCCTGGATATGGAAATTCTATAGCAACCTATTTACTGGATATTGTGGAGCAGTAATAGATAGTTATCTACATACTTAACTTGTCACTGTCAAATGGATAGAATGCCTCTCACTGTGAGAGTTTCTCTTATTATAAAGAAAATATTTGGCTCATTACAAGAGTAAATTCAGCAATTACATCAATCAAATCTACCTAATTAAGGTAACCATGTAAATATATCTAATTATTATATATTTACAAGCATCACGCCTAAATAGATATACTACATGCGGTCTATATCTGATTGACAGTAACCACTAGTTAATAGATGCGCTGGAGGCAGTGGTTAGCAGGACTGTATATAATAGAGAATGAAGTAAAAAATTATTTACCCAGAAAAAGATTGATGAGAATTTATAAAGGATACCTGGAAATTTCTTGATAGAAATCCTACTAATGGTTTGTCCTTCTCATCTTTGCTTATTTTAAAAAGGCCAGTCAAAACTTGGAGCCTGTTCAATGCTATATAAAGGAGTGTACAGGCCTTAGGATCTTTATTTTTCATATATTGTTGCCTTGCCAGCTGTTCCATCTGCAATAAAATTTTTGAAAAAATCATGAAACTAAAACCTTTAGCTCTGGGAAAGGAATAAGAGAGACACGATACAATAATTTTCTTCCACCCCCAATCTCCCACAGAGGAATTTTAATGTCATATTTATCACTAACAACTTTAAAGTTTTAAGCATATTTTCGAGCAGTATTTTCTGAATGAAAATTACATATTGCATCCATGCAATATATTTATAGCATGCACAGCCACAAGATGTGAGATAACTTGAGTTAGTCGTAGAACCACCATGCTAACAGTTGCGAGGTAAAAATACAAACTGATGGCAGCAGCTTCTGTAAAAAATTCCAAAAACTAGATCTACTCCATCATCTGCAACTTTGGAATGAATTAGACTGATGTATTTAACTCATGCACAAATAAAGTTCCATTAAAAAGATCATAACTTTTCATCATTTATGCCACAGGAATTTCAGCCTCTTCAAACTCTATTGTCGTTTAACAAGGTAATACAACAATACATGGAAGAAAGAGCTACAAACTGTGCATCTTGCCCTTCAAAAGTTCTTCAGGCTCTTGATAGAGCTAGATGCCTAGGAACAGGTCCAATAAAAGCTTCCACACAAAGCAGCTGATCTTCAATTTGAGGAGTAAAGGATCTGTTTTTTTTTTTTACTCGCCTTCAGATACTCTTTACATATTATATAAACAGATGAAATATGTGGTCATCATATCTGAAATTGCTATAACATCCAGCCTCATTGCCATAATAATGTTTTCATGTGCAAGCTTTCTCATTTCTCTACCTCTTTTTTTCAATTCACTACCATTTATAATTAAGTTTCTTGAAATTTTTTATACAAATTCAACTCAATCAATAAATTTCTGGAAATTGATTTTAAATCTACCCAATTCAGGACACTTTTAAGAGGGGAAGAAAAGAAGCTCAATTCCGAATACTCTGGGGGTCGGTCAAATTAATCCTATTACTCTAATCCATTATATCCACCATTACTAATCTACTCAAAGATCCAATGGGATCAAAATTTTCAGGAACCTATTAGGCCATGTTAATCATGGTCTACCACTCTCGCTTCTCTCCTAACTTGTTCTACTGAGGATAAATAAATCACCTTGTGAACGTGAAATTCTTTTGGTTTTCACAAGGCATGTCCCAACTCTCAACAACCAAAATCATAATTCCCTTAATTTATCCTAAAATGATCACACCTCTAGTTGTTGGCATGTATTTTCTTTATTATCATATCCATTCTAATGTGGAAACATATCCATCTTAACATTGTCGTTTTCACTATGACCCACGACCCAGTATCATAAAGTATAGTTGGTCTGTAAGTATTTTATAGAATTTAGTTTTAACCTTATTTTTATCCTCCTATTGAGTATAATCCCTATTAACACTTCTATATTTCACACTACTCATTTCTAATCCTATGAATTACATCTCCTAAATACCTAAAATGCTCACTATTTCAGATAACATGATCCTTTGACTCGAATTTCATATTTTAGTGCATGCTTGGCAAAGCTTTTATTTTTTAAAATGCTTATAAGCCGTGGGTCCTATAGAATGTATAGAAAATAAGTAAGTCATACAAAATGTGAGGATAAAAGCATGTTTGACCCATTCAAATTAAAATTTATACAATTATTACCACTATGATTAAATGGATATTGCATGAATTCCACATCAGTTCTACTTAACCTAAAACCTTTAGATTTCAAAGCACTCTTGCAAAGTTCAAACTTACAATTTATCCATTTCTGAGTCTCGTCAACTAAACTGCATAATAAAGAAATAATATATACCAAGGAATCTACTCGTAGATGTGTCTTGTAAGCTCATCCATGACAAAGAGAAAAGATAACGACCTCCAGTGATAGGAACTTCTCTATTTCCATCGCCACTGATTCACATATAAATCCCTAAAATAATATTCATATATCTAATAGAATTTCTTTTCCCTCTCCCACCCACTGTAGTATTTCTCCAAGCACCCTATTGTAGCGATTTTTTCCTGAATCAATAGAAAACCATATATAAATTTTGTTTGTTTTCTCTATATCTTTTTATCAATCTCTTAAGAAGCTAAATTATTTTCGTAGTAGACCCCCTGATAGAAAACTGAACAAATTCTTTCATACTTCTGAATTACAAAATGTATGCTCAATCACTAGCTTCTTTAACTTCACTGTATGACTCATGACCTTAGTACCTCTATTATTTGAGCAATCTTGAATATCATTGTTATTCTCATAGATAGGAATTAGGGACCATATATCAAGATGCTCCTATATATAAGAAAAAGGGAATATCAGAGTATCATTCCGAGACACAATTTTGGACTTGGAAAACCAGAAAGTGAACCGCTTTCCTCTAACCCATCATTTAGTCCTGCTATGCCATAATTATTGAATGAAGTCCTGACACAATAAAAACCTGAAGTTCAAGGCCAACCAGCAGAAAACTAATCTACAAAACCAAAGGTCTAGATGTCAGACTGCAGAAGACTCACGAGAAATATAGTAAGATGTCTCACCAACCGTTTTTCATGAAATTCACAAACTTCACCATAGGACAAGGAAGAGACTAAACGAAGCAGGAGGAAACAATAATATAACTAGAGACAAAACAAAGAGCAAAGAAAATTGGCAAGTTGTATGTATCTTATACAGCATTATCATTTTCCATGGAGCAGCAATGGTGATAAAGAAAAATCAACAACTCGTATATCAGCACAAATAAAAGCACATCAACCGTCCCTTAGGTTAGACAGCTTATGTTAGATTGAATTAGAACTGGAATAAAAAAAATACAGTCAAAGAAAAAATGGAAAAACATGTAGAAGTGATAAGATTGGTTCCATATTGTACCTTCTGTCGCAGTTGTGTTATATTCGTATACCAAAATCCAAACCCCATACTACGCATTTCTTCCCAAGCTGGTTCAGTCGATAGAAGGGAACTAAACAAATTTTCTTGACAATCTGAATGAAAAGCCCATCCAATCAGCTCCGAAGAAACATCCAACTCCTTGACCAACGGCAATCTACCAAATTGCTGGACAAAATATAGTTGTTGAAACCTCACTGCCACCCAAAACCTTTACAGGAGAACAATGGCTAGTCAATAATTTAAAAATAAAAAAGAATACCAACAATGATAAATAAACACCAAAACTTTACGCATAATACAAAAATCCAGGAGAACAACACAAAAAAATCTTTCATTAAAGGGTTATAAAACAATTGAACATACCAATTAATCTAAGAAAAGTCAGTTAAACCTACACATAAACAAATGGCACTGCTATTACTGCATACTACGAGATGGTGAGAATTGCACAAGGCAAAAATGATAAAGAACATCATCTATCAAGTCAGAAATATGTGAGCCCCTTGCAAATACACGAACCAAGCAGGATATAGACATCTAAGGCATTCAGGTTAACTAAAGTAACAATTATCTACACAGAGGGTTCCACCAATTTTGGCCTGGACAGTTTTCAGCATCCTATGAGAGATTATTTCCAACAACATAATGTCTAAATTAAGTGATCTCCTGCTTTAGTGCACTCAACTTTTCCTTCACTACTTTCACCAGCGATTTAAATATTCATTGGTCATTTACTTCACCACAAAAATCCTCTGAAAGTTTTTGTTACTAACAATCATGTTAAATCCTTTTTGTTTGCGAGTGAAGTGCAAGCAACTATATATATTCTGACAATAGTTAAAGATATGTCAAGACTATGTTACAATTCATAACCTGCAGCAAACTCATCTATTTCATGGGATGCAGAGATAAAGAAGCATGAGCGGGTCATAAATGAAGTGCAATAATCCAGTTAGAAAGTGAAGCTATTACATGATATTTGAGTTCCTAAACATACGAAAAAGTAGATTATGTATTTTGTTGGAAATTATAAATTGTATATAATAAACTTGTCTAACTATTACAAAGTAGATGACCTATTCATAAGATTACGAATAACTCTGAAAGGAAAGATTATATACTATTACACAATTAACTATTAAGGAAAAATAATCCCAAACATTGGGAAAAGTATCACAAAGAACAATCTTGTAATCTTTTGATATCTTCAACGAAGGTAATAACAATAAGATAGCTAGTCTTATTATTGATAAAAAGCTTTCTTTGTTTCTTTTCTAAGAATATTTATAGGCATTATCGTGGTACCTATTTCACTTGCACTTGTGACAGATTATGCTTCACCAAATTATAATAAAATGGGGCATTTCGGAAGGACAAGGGTGATGTAGCTAGATCAAGATTTGAATCTTGATCCAGTAGTCAATAGATTTTCACAGAATAATCAACATGCTGAGACCTTCCATCAACAAAGAGCGTAACTATTTCTTCTAAGTAATATTCTGTTCTACAATTGATCTTAAAAATGACTCACGAACAATAATGCAGTGAAAATATTAGCACGTCCAAACAATCTCAACCATAATAGTTAAACATGCATATTCAGCGAAGGTTCATCAAGACATAATATAGAAATGAACCAATCATTCATTTTATGGCCTATACAGTAAACAGAATATGACCATAATTTCCATGTGGCATTTCGTTACAGGCAAGTACCAGATAAGGCAAGGTTTTGCATTATAGTTTTGTCTTGTTTTTCATTACATATGCTACACTTCGAATTCAGGAACCATCAACTCAGTAGGACACATAAACCATAGCACAATACAGTAACCAAGATCCAGGTCTTTTCTTCTATTCAAAACTTAATTTTTCTTCTAAATTATGGATAAGATCAGTTATATTTTCCTAAACATAAGCAAAGTCCTGTGCTGAAGTTAAGATACCATCAAGATTTGGATATTTGGATTGAATTTAATAAGTTTAGCCAAATAACTTAGGCCCCGTTTGGTAGCCATTTTTTTCAAAATGCATTTTTCTCTCTCTTCTTTTCAACCACACATTCTTTATTAAAATAATATTACACGTAAATCAAAAACTTTTCCTTATTTCTCAACCACACATTTCATATCAATTTACTATTCTAAAATGCATTTTTACATAAAAATGCCTATCAAACACCCCCTTAATATCAACGTTGCCTGAAAGTGAACAAGGAATATTAAGGAACCAAGCTGCAAAGAATTGAAAATCTAAAAGTACCTTCGACCAGGTTCATCAAGACTTCCATAAGCAGAGGTGGAATGCGGGTTACTAACTTCTTGTAGAAGATCAATTATAGCAAGAGCCTGCATCTTTTCAATTTTAGTTATCGATGAAGATTCATACAGTCTCTCAATGGCTTCAGTGAAGTCAGAAAATTCAGATCTTGACAAAGGTGAAGTATTGGAAGCATCATACCCCCAATTGGAGGTATATTGAGATAACCCATTCTGGAGCTCTGAAGATGAAGTAACTGAAGCAGAATCTCCGCTCCACTGAAACAATTTATTACTTGAATGTGAAGATAGAAGCCCTTCAAGATAATCTGACAAGGGAACTGATGAAATCACATCACTAGACATTTTTGTTTGTTCTTCAGACATATTGCTAGAAGCAAGGTGCTTAACAAGATGCCTCAGAGCTACATATGCACGTTTCCAGTTACCTGGAGACATTAAAAATAGTACGATAAATATTTTTAGGCAACGGAAAAAGATCTACCTGTCTTAAAATAATTTAGACGATTAAACTCCAGGGATCTCTCTTATGGAACCAAATGCAGGGAAGCTATCACTTTTAAGGGAACAAGGAGAAATATAAGCAAAAAGCAATGAGAGTAGCAACAGGCTCTAAAAACATAAAATAACTCCCTTCTTCTTTTGTTCTTCTCTCCTCTCTTCTCTGATTCCCTCTCTAATTCATTTTCTGTATCCTGTTCTGCATCAAGCATGCATGAGCTCATCATTTACAGAAGTCTACCGCTTTGGTGCGCTAAAAGCATGATTAAAGAAACCCTAGGAGGACCTAATAGATTATGATATGCCCAGAGAATCAGACATCAAATTCCAGTCACCCAATATTAATAATTTTGTTTTTCTTTTTTTGATAGGAAATATGAATAATTGTGTGAATTGGAAAGTTATAAAAATGTTTTCCTTACAAAATTAGATTATGTTTGGGCCATATAGCATTGAAGCTTTATCAAACCTACAAAAAAATTGAATATTTCCAACTTCCTAGTTGAGTCAAAGGTTTTTCCAAGAAGGTTCACAAGTTTAAATTTCTTCAATTCATTATTCACTTGTTTCATCATACGTAAAACTAGTTTGGAAAAGGATACATCCTTCCCAAGAATAATTGAATGCCCTTTACTTTAGGCCTCAGCAATCCCAATCCCATTTGATTTAGTTTCCTAAAGTTAATGGGAATATCTACAAATTATTAAAACTTAGCTCCTGTTTGTTTCCCATTCTTTCCCCATTAAAATGAAAAATATGATCATTATCCATTACATCAAGCCACCAAATTTGAATTTCCATCTCTTGTGTGGGGCCCATAACGACTATATTTTTTACTCATTCTTACAAAAATGGGAAACAAACGAAGCCTTAAAGTGCTCAGGAAAGACTTATCATGGAAACCAGTAAAACTTTAAGAATTCAAAAAGGTAAAAATTTTAACTCTACATGAGTACTGATGATCTAGTTACCCCTTTGCATAAACATTGTTCTGCACTATCTTAGGGGTTGTCACATATTTTATTTATTATGTGCTTTGTTAAGCATGAGATTTCACCCCAAAAAATAAAATAAAAAAATAGCACCACTTGAAACAGTAGTACCTGAGCTTATATTAATCAAGAGTGCCTCAGGGTGAAAAACAGGTAGAGATCCTCCCACCTTTTCAGCAATTTCTAGCACGCTCCACAACCGAATTATAGTATCTCTACTGTGCTTCCGTATACCACTTTCAACATTTTCTGTTGGCATAAAATCAGCCCTCATTTTCATCTTTAGAGGAAGCTGGGTCTCATGTACTCCTCCTATTTTTGATGATTCTTTTGAATCACAATTATTAGAATCATTGAGAACTGGAGTAAGCACGTCTTTATTTGAGTAGCCATCGCATATAACAAGGCTATCCTTGAGGGACCTTGGGCAATAGTCAGCCGGAAATTCCTCGTCGGCTAATACTAAAAACTGACTGAAAAGACTAAAATACTCGAGGTGAACGACCAGAATTGTGCCCTTAGGCCCCCAAAGAAAGTCACAAATGGCAGAGGTAGTTTGACTTGCAGCAATACAAATCCAAATATTCCTTTCCAAAGGCTTTCCAGATTTTAAAACATCCTGACCTCCACAGCGTTTCATAGCATATATCCGCAACTCATTCTGGAAGCAAACCCCTAGTAATAACTGACCATTTCCCATCATAAACCAATGCATACCAACAACCTCTCCATCAAGATATAGTTCATCTTCTTTTATAAAGCTGCCTGCATCATGGACATGCACACATTCCCATATATGAAGAATGCTAGAACCACTAGACTGACCAGCTGGGGAGGCGGATGCAACTTTTCGACCACAGACACTTGGAGATATTGCCGTGGGAGGACCTTGGTGTACAGCAAGCACACCAACAAGATCCCATTTTGTACTTGATCTCAAGGATTGATCTGGCACACTCGTGACACTCCTCCATAGTTTCAAAGTACCATCAATGCAACCTGTCACCAAGTGATATGGATAGTAGCAGGAGTCCATTTTATTATCAGAAATTATTGTCCGCTCTTCAGATAAAATCAAGTCCTCAGGGCAGACCACAGCAAAACTGGTAACTATATCATCCTTGTGTGGAGCAGGAAATACTGATGAGCAAGGATCAACAGAGACACAGTATTTTTTCCCAACATATTCCCTTTCAAATGTTTGGATGTGCTTGTCACAGCAGCTTCCATGCAAATCATAACAATGGATAGTTATTTGCCATGATAAAGCCAAAAAGCCATCCACCCATAATGCCACCAGCAGAAAGCTACTAGAATTATAGATTTCATTGCAGCTAGAAGGCAGAGGAATCGAGCAGACCCTAGTTGGCCCACGGACCTGATCTTGACAGGTGAGAGGGATGGTAATTAACTTGTGAATCTGTATTTTCTGCTCTTCATCTTTTGGAGTGTTAATTATAAAGCAATCAATGCCATCAGCATGTCCCATGAGAATAGCCCGGTCCTCACCTAGTATTGCAGGAGCCCAGCTCAAGCAAGTGTACTTTGGATAGTGATCCGAAACAACGTTTCTCCCACGTAATTTCCAGGATGGGTTTAGCGTCGGAACACCCATGTTACTACTGAAGAAGGTAGAAACAGACCAGAAAAGAAGCATACCATCTGTATCCAAAGAAGCAGCAAGTTCAACTTCAACCAAATAAGGATGAACTGCAACTTGTAGAATTTTTCCAGTGTGGCCATCAACTTCGAGAATTCCTTTAGCACAAGATGACAATAAGCTTTCAGTCTGACATTTATTTGCAGTATCCTCTCCAATACTACTTGATGTTAGCGAATATAGCTGTGTACAGGCTACAGAATTACTAGGTAATAATTGAACCAGAGTGCATAGAACAGGAGGACCAGAATCTTGATTCCTCATGATACAAACTTTGTCAACTACCAATTGACTTATTTCCAATTCAAGATTGATTAATTCTTGTCTCTTCCATAAAGTGACCCTTGGGAACCTAACGGGAGCAAAATCATCAATACAGTGGATAGCCCAGAAAGTTGCCACCGTTTCAGGACCAAAGCCAACTAACCACTCACACTTGCCAGTATTATCATTCAGAACATCATCTACACGTGAATAATGGCGAGCTTCTTTACCAATGGCAATTATACCTTCAACTTCTGTAGCCCAACTAACAAATACATTAGAACCCAGAGATCCATTTAGTGTTTGGTTTACCTCTAGTACAGCAATGACAACAAAAAATAATCTTGGTGCCTTCTGGTCACAACTATCCTTTCCAGCTCGTCTAATCCTCCCATCATCAGTCTCACTCCATAACCTTACAGTTCCATCAACACAGCAAGTTAACAGCACAGAGCGCAACGACTGTCTGGCATCTCTATTTAATGGTTTACCTGTTGATGGCCTCCATTGTATCATGGTAACAGGCGATGGATGGCACAGCTCAACTTGTATGCATTTGGAATACTCATCACCTTGAAAAACTAAAACATATTTGCTTGCATCATTGATTGGAGAAGATGAATCTCCAACTTGCAGTTTACTCCACGATGCAGTTGCCGAAGGTCCTGTCGCTGACCAGGAAGCAGAAACCAGAACTTGAGGAACTTTTGGTTTAAATTTCCAAGCTATTTCCCAAGATATCTCCTTCTTTCTCCATAACACCACATTGATGCCTCCTGAAACTATCCCATCTCCTGAGCCCGTCCATTTGGTGGTTTCCACCTCGGTAGATTGCACAAGTGTTGCAGTCTGACTCCAACAAAAAGAACCTGAATATCAGTAAAGAAGTTCGCGTTTGATTTCAAGAGAGAGAGGGGGAGAGAGAGATATGAACATGGAGTTGACCACTTTTAACGAAAAATACTCTCGAGGAAGTATACATGGTCAATAGCTTAAAGATTAACGTGTACAAAGGCATGGTGTGAATCAACTGTAAGATAATTGTGGTCATAAAAATTATTATTTCCCACATTCCACATAAAAAGTTGCAGAGAACATGCAAGTTGAACAACCAACAAATAATTTCTAAAGGTTTCCCTTACTAGGGATTGTGCAGATGTATGACACACCAATAATCATATTACCAAAAATTTAGAATTTTTCAGACTATAATTAAATAGCACAAGTTTTACGAGTGACGTCTATCTTACTTGCTATAGTTCAATTTCCAGAGTTTCGTTTCTCTTCTGGGAGTAGTGTCTGATTCATCAAACACAATCCCATAATTTAATATGCATTATTATGAATGAATTTTGCAGCACTGGAATAAAAACTTCTAAAATTCAGAATAACAACATTGTCTGTTATTCTAATTCCAAACTTCAGCCGCATTGCTAGTTCGTTTTCCAAATTCCTAATCCAACTTTACCCAGGTGGTCATTTGATTTTTCATTCAAGTATATATTCATCCATAAAAACTTGCCCAGTTAATGCTTATACTATGATAATAAAGAATATAATTCATATTCTACTATATGCATAATCCAAAAAATGGACTCTCAATAAATACACCTTTGGGAATCATTTTCACCTAGAAGTAGCAAACTATTAATTTTTTAAACATTCAAAAAGTTAAATCCCATTCCCAGCTATTAAATAAAAGATAAATAAGTTAATGATTCTTTTACTCAGCAAAAGATTTGATAATGGAAAGCTACAGACTTACTGCAAGAAGTGTCCTCTGAAATATATGAGAACAAGCGGATACAATTGCCCGAGGCGACGGCGAGTTCACCTGTGGAGGGCGTGGCAGGGGACCAAGAGACAGCCGCCACGCTGCAGGTACCTTCGCCGGAGAGGTCGATCACTTGACGGAAAATTGACCCAATTTGCTTTTCGGTATCGGCGAGAGGATTGGGGAAGTGAGAAATGACTAGGAGGGAGGAGGCTCCGTAAGCAATCCATGAGTACCCGACGAATTCCAGTAACCAGTCGATCGCGGGTTCGGGTCCTGTTGCGGGGCGATTTGGGGCGGGAGGGATAGTCTCGGATTTAATTAAGCGGAGCGGCAGGTGGGCCGTGATATCTAGCGGCGGTGGTGCAGCGGACATGGTGTTGGAGGAGGAGAAACTGAAATTTGGATGTACAATTTATGGTTCAGCAAGTAGTTTTTTTTTTTTTTTTTTTTTTTTTATTTTTAAAAATTTTAAAATTTTGGGTTTTTGCAGAT